TTTCTTTTCTTCTTTTCTTCCTTTCTTCTTCTTGTTTACGTTTCTCTTCTTCTTCGTTTTTTTTCTTCTTCTTTTTTCTTTCTTTCTTCATCTTTTCGTTTTGCTTCTTCTTCTTCTTGTTTAGCTTGTTCTTCTTTTTTTCTTTTCGCATTTTCTTCTTCAACTTGACGTTGTAATTCCTCTTGTTTTCGAAGTTCTTCTTTCTTTCTATCTTCTTGTAATCGAAGATTCTGTTCTTCCTATAATATTATAATAATTTTTAACATATTTTATGAAAGGATCTAATTCTCAAAATCATAATTACCAATATTTGTTGTTCAGTCTTTATTTCTTTAGTATGCAAATCCCATAATGATGTAGGCAATTGACCAGGAGGAACAGCTGGTATCGGTCCAACCTAAATAATATTATGTTAACTGTATTTATGAAATTATATTTTCCTAAAATTGATAATAACAAATAGTAAGTTTCACATACTTGCGCTAACCAATTCTGTGCATTAAATTGTGGATTTATTTGTGGCGGAGGTTGTGGCCAAACCGTATCAATATGAGATGTTTGTGGATGGCCATTTGCGTTAACATTCAGTTGACGTAATAAGGATTTTATGGGATTATCTTCTTGTGTCGCAGTTGGTGTACTTGACTGTTGAATTCCCGGTATATTTTGCATACCACCCATTTGTTGTATAAGTTGTTGTATAGGATCAACTGTAGGTGGATGTGTTGCTGTAGTTGAATGTGGATTTGATGTTAAATGAGTTTCTGGTTGTGTCTTAGCCTAAAAAAATAATAAAATATTTAAATAATCAATACTATTTTACTTATTATTATTTGAAGTGAATTATTACCTGTTGCATTTGAGTGAAAAGTTGCATAACTGGATTTGAAGCCTGAGATGAAAGATGAGGTACAAATGGATTTGTAGAAATTGGTACCTCTGGAATCTCTGAATCTTGAATAACGCATTGAAAAATCAATTGATTTTGTTCCATAGGACTTAAAGTTGCCCAATGTTCAGATTGAGAAAGTTTCGCTATAGCTGACGTTCGCATTTGTCTCAAAAGCAATTGTTGATTTTGTAACAAACGCATATGTTGATACTGCAGCAGAAGAAGGGGATCTTCTATACTAGTTTTTGATAGTGCACTTATACCAGCTGGTACAGTGTTAGGAACAGGTGGTATTACTTGATCCGCTAACTAAAAGAAACAAATCTTTTCTCTATATTTTTTTAAGTTTTATATATATTATATATATACATATATATATAAAAGATTATAAAAGAATAAACATACCTTTAAAGGAGGAATAGGAGGTCCAGGTGTAAATGGTATTCTACCACACATCTTCACTAAATCCCCTAATGTAGTATATCGCTCGTCACAAGTTCTTCTTACCATTAATCCAGCAGTGAAATAACCAGCTTTACACCATTCCGCCATTTCACTTGCTAAGAACGGACCCTGAACTTCACCCTGTGGATCACGGTAAAACCATTTCTCCTGTCCATTTGTTGATGGAACTGTAGAAGGTTGGTTACCAATAGAAGGCGGTATACTAGCTGTTTTCTCCCTATGGTTTTCTTCATCCGCCATCAATTTAGCAACTAATGCATCGGCTTCTTCTTTCATTCTATCCAAATCGTCTTCCGACTTTTGTCTCACATCATTCGTTTCCGTATTATGACCCACTTTTTGAGACTCTATTTGTAACGGGACTTGTTTTTTTGCAGTGACAGGAATAGAATCCATCTTTGTTTCTGTTTCTATATCTTCTTTTTTCTTTTCTTTACTAGGAGATTTATTGGTTTCTAAATCCATAGATGTTATTTTTTCTGTTTCTATTTGCTCTGTACTTGCCACTACTGTATTTCTTTTTTGTGGAGTTTCAGATGATGTTGAAGGTTTAGTAGGGGTACTATCTGTTATTGTAATAGGCAGTTTCCCTGGAGAACTGCTTCTCCTTTCTTTATCGATACAATCATTTTTATCATCGAGCGGATGCAAGGACTTCGGTCGTTCTTTGTTTATTGTACTAGTGCCACTATTGGTATTACGATTTGTTATTTGTCCTTGAGTTGAACTATAGGATAAAGATTTACTACCAGATTTTTTTATATTAGCAGCACTTCCTTCAGAAACACGTCGAGTCCTTGATTCTTGAGTACCACCTGCACTAATCACTCCATCTTCATCATCATCTGAATACATTCCACCATGGAATGCACCTGAAGCATCAAAACTTCCTCCACTTTCACTAGGATTTTCAGTAGCCCTAAAATAAATTTTGATCATTAAACAATAGATAAATTCCAACTTATATCATTATATGATTAACAAAAAATATTAAAAAGTTACCATTCAGGAAGATTGTCATGATTATTATCATGATTTGATTCCCAAGTACGTGTTGTACGAGGGGGTGGATGATGGCTTGAATCGTGTGTGACTCTATGACTTCCACGATGTTCCCATCTACCACCACTATTCCGTCCTTCTTCGCTATCTGCTTCATTTCTCTCTAATCTATCTCTGTCCATGCTCCCACTTTCACGCCAACTACTTCTGCCTCCTACAAATTAATTATTATACAAACAATATTCTTTATTTAATTAAATAAATAGATTTTGTAGTTAAAACTAAATACTTATATACCCCATTTTCGCCAACCATCATCATCTTCTGTACCACCACGATGACGTCGCCAATTACTTTCCATAAGAGAACTACCACTAGCTCCACGACTTAATTCCTTTCTAGGACTAGTAGAACCATTCCATTCACCTGGATCTGAAGCCCCATTTCTTTCTGACCAACTACGTTCACTTTGAGACCTATCAAATGGGCGATTTCTTCCCTAGATATAAAATATATTTGTTAATAAATTAAAAAAAATATTTTCTTTTTTTATTTAATGTAAAAGAATATATTCTTAATATTATTATTAAACCATATTATAAGATCATATAAATATATAAATTATACATAATTTATCTGTTAAGAAAGTAAAAATTAATTTGCTTTTTTGAATTTAATATTCATATCAAAATATTTCTTGTATAAAAAATGCAATATATTACATACTTGAAATGATTGACTGTCGATTCGAGATCCATCTCCTGAATCATCAAAACCAACACCACGGGAATAATGAGAGGAATATAAACTACCTCTTCCATTTCTTCCTCGCCCTCCACGATCCACACTTCCACCTCTTCCTCGACCACCATTAGTTATTCCTCCATTCCACATCCGCTAAAAAAAGTTGATAGTTAATAATAATGATAATTAAATATATATATTTCAAATTTATCAAATAAATATATATATAATTTATAATTTACTTAATATAAATTATTTGATAAATATTTGATAATTGATATATATATATATATATATAATATTTAATTAAATTATAAAGAATTTAATAAATATATTATAATATACAAAAAAATATTTATGAAAATTTAGAATAATAAAATAGTAATGATTATATAAAATACACAAAACAGAAGACTGCCATGAAGAACTGGCACAAGGGCTCCAGTATGTTATATTTTTAGATTCTAACTGATTTCATGAGATAGTTCTCATTATAGAATGTGTTAAAAATATATAATTACTAAATAATATATCATAAATTAATTATATTATAAAATATATATACATATTAACAATTTCACATAAAAATTATTTATTTTATATGACTATTTAATATTATAATTAAATATATAAATATCTTTAAATTATAATATAGATATCAAATTTAAAATATAGATATCAAATATGAAAATATATTTAATTAATTACCGTTTCATCTTCTGTCATTTGTATAAGAGCCAAAGGAAGTTGAGTTTTTTCAACATATAATGATGAGAAATTTGTCAATAATTCAGGAGGTTTACAATTACGGTCAAATAAAATCAACATTTCTTCTCGCCCATATCTATGTTCAGCTAATTGATAACGTGGAGTAGTTAAACTTGTAGTACCTCCACCACCACCACTATTATTGCAAGTGTCTCCAGATAGATTGCGCAACCTATATATTATAAAAATTAAAATATAACAAATAAAACTACAAGATGAATTATATTTTTAAAAGATTAAACAAACCATTCTGGACCAAATTTCATAGAATCCGTCATGATGATCTATTTACTGTAAACATAAAATCATCACACATTTTATTATAAAGCATATTTAGATGTAAAATTTTAAAAAGATTATTACAATATTATTAAGTTTATAATTATTTTTTTCTCAACTTATATGTCAATTATTAAAAAATATATAACAAAAAAATAAAATATAAAATTATATGATTTCTATTATATGAAATCAGATAGAAAATATATTCTACATATATAAAAATTAGAAAACATCATCTGAAATAAAAAGAGTTGTATGATAATAATCATAGATATATGGTATACTTGATTGATACAATTATAGAAAATTTTATTGATAATTTTTACCTGTTGCTAAACGAAAATTAGCAACTATAATGATCAATGTTAATTACAAGAATAATAAATTAAATATTATCATAAAAGACAACTGAGATATATAAAAAGAATGAAATAAAAGTGAACGAAGGTAAGAAAGTACGGCAGACGGTTACAGCAAAGTATGCGTAAAAAGCTGTGATTCTTTTTAAAATTAACTAACACCAATGATAATCTTGCACAGAAAGACGACAATGCAGAAGAAGGTATTAATGTTCTATGAACATTCCAATCCAGTGAAAATAGTACGCATTTATTTACGACATATTCATGAACAGACCGATTTCCGTGAGCCCAGGTGGCAACATTAACCAAACTTTTTCCGCTAAAGGATGTCATAAAACTCTCCGAATGACAATCTATTTCGACTAAATATAACATTGGTATTGTCAATTATTCATAAAGCAATGAATATGGAAAAAAATCGCGTGATGAACAAAAGAAATACCTCACTGATCTTCTGAAATTACTGAGGACAGCGATACAACACACCAATATGGCTGATGGTTCTTTTTTGGAATAAAGCGCATGCGGAGTTGCTGGTATACCTGTAGTATTAAAAAGTTACTAGCAAATTATGTTGTTTTTCTAGTCACTATCAGCTGAAGAATTTTTTAAATATTTTTATTATCCTTGAATCAACTTTCTATCACTATATAGATAGATTTTTCACTTGTATTCATTAAACATTGTTTTTTATTCTAATAAGTAGAATTTTCGCGATGATTTCTTGTATATTTAAAAAATTTAGATTTTTAGAATTAAATGCTATAAATTGCTAATAACAATATTAATTATAATATTGACATTAAATATTATAATATAATATAATATATAAATATAATATAAATTGCTAACACAATATTGACATTAAATTACAATATAATATTACTACAAAAATTTAAAATATAACATTATGTTAAATTTTTCAATCATATTAATTCTATTATATATGAACTTTGAAATACATTAATTTTACAATTTCATCAATCTTTATCTTTTGTTGCATTAAATTTCTTAATTTTTATAAAAATTATAAATACAATATATATATATATGTACAATAATATATATATATATATATATAATACATTACAAATTCATTCTGTATATATGTAAAGATCATTAATTAAAGATTATATTCATGAATAAAAATAGATGAAGTTTATAAAAATTAAACAAAATAATGTGGTTTTTTGACTATGATGCCATATTCTGCAACTGCGGGAGTCAAATCTTCCATGGTAAGAGTATAACGTCGATCTTTTCCTTTTGTTTTTGTATTTTGATTGGCTCCACGTGTTTTGCAATGTTGTAAAGCATCATTTGCAATTTCAGATATAAATTTTTGTGCAGCTAATGAAACCAATCTTACTCTAAAATTACAATATATATAGTTAAAACTATGTTAATATAGTTAAAATTATGAAATTTTATTTATAAATTAATCAACTGTTTATAGATTTCTTACATTCTGGGATCTGTTGTATTAAAACCTGCTGTATGTAAATAATGTTCACTTATAGCATCTGGTACCTGTCAAAAGAATCATTTGATATATGTTTAATAGCAAATAAAGCTATAATTGTAATGTCGTTTGCCTACCGTTGGTGTATAATCTTCGAGTTGTAGCAAAAAATCCGAAAGAGGTTGTCCAGCAGTTTTTGTTTCTTCATTTGTATACATAGATGGAGTATCTCCTCCAAAATCTTCTGTCATTTCAATTTAGCGCTTTTTGCATAATGTTAAAACATTATATAAAATGATATGAAATAAATACATTAAAAGCTAATTTTCTAGATTTCAAAACATAAGTAGTATATACATTACAAATTCTAATTTTTAACAATGAGTATTAAGTTTCTTATAATAAAATTAAACTTTATTTTGGAGCACCAAAAGTTGTTAATTTTTTTTTTTTTTTTTTTTTTTTGTCTTTTTAATTTTTTTGATAAATAGAATCCAAAAATATTAGCTTTAAATGTATTTATAGGTTAGGTTATTAGAACGCCATATTAGTATTCACAATTCATTCAATGATTGGAGTCAGTATCATATAAGTGACGATCATTTAAGCGCGATAAGTTAAATTTGGATGCACAGATATATTATACATGTTTTGTTTTTCTAATTAATCCAAACAATGTATAATAATACAATTAGAACAATTGTTTGTTCAATATGAATCGATTCAACGTTGGAACAAAAATAACTTACCAAAATAATAATCCACTGGTAATGCTGGACGCCTATGGCAGCCGAGGAAAAAATCTACCTTAAACAACTCAATACTTTAAAGATATGGACCTAAATGGTTATTACCTACATGCAGATAGTGACTCTTCATTGGACGAATTGTTAATATAAATCAATACAGTGTCTTAATAATCTATCAAAGACATTTAAAAAATATTAACTTAACATACAAATAATTTTTTAAATCAGTGAATTTTAAATTCTAAATAATATTTTTTGATTCTATTTATCAAAAATTATTAGAAAACACAAAAAGTATAAAAGTTTTAATGCTCTAAAGTTTAGAAAAAAAAAATTTCAAGAAATATCATCATTTTCAAATATAATACAAATAATACTTATACAAATAAAAATAATACAAATATATACAAATAAAAATTAAAGTAAAATATAATTCTACCAATAGGAAGTATATCTAGGGAATAAATATCAAAGGAGTATATCGATTAATTATCCGTGTTTCGTTTAAATAAATAGTAAAATTTTTTTTTATTAGAATGTTTATATTTACAAAATAAATATCAATATTCAATATAACATAAGTTCTTTAACTTATTACTTATGAAAAGTTTAACACTTAAAAATCTATGAAATTTAATTAATAATATATTATATATATATGGTATAATATATTATATATATAGCATATAAATTACATTGATAATGGATTTTTAAATGGTATTGATGGAATCCAAGTATCTGACTTTAATTTTTCATATTTTATCTTGTTTATATATACACTATGTACAATTTGTTCAGCAGTATGAGTTAAACCATAATAATCTACAAATAATCCATCAGGATCAATAAGATATATGATTATTGTATGATCAACCTAGAATATAATCAGAATAAAATGAATATGATATTAAACAATAAAGTTTAAATAATATGTAATAATAAAAAAAGAAATTACTAACAATGTAATCGGAATCTTGATCTTTAGGTCCATTGCTATAATATACTCTATAAGCTTTACATACTTTAGCAATTTGTTCTTTGGTTCCAGTAAGACCAAGAATTTTGTCTGAAAATTCTTTAATATATTTGCCTACAACTTCTGGTGTATCTCTTTCAGGATCCACAGAAATAAATATAGGTTGAACTTTTGTATTATGTTGCTTCTCTGAAAAATAATAATTCAATGTAAAACAATATATATCTTTTTTAAGTTTGTTGTTTATTATACCTAATTTATTGACAATTTCTGTCATTTTTTCAAGTTCATCTGGACATATATCAGGACAATGTGTAAAGCCAAAATATATTAGAACCCATTGTCCTAAAAAATCATCTGACTTCCAAATTTTTCCTTGAGAGTCAATTAACTCAAATTTTCCACCAATTGCTGCTTTTCCTAATTGACGTCTTCTTTCGCGTTCTATTTGTTTATCTTTTATTTCTTGGAGATAATACATATATATTAAAAGAGATGTGCCTATTATAGTTGTAACTATTACACTTTTCCATGTAATAAAACTTTTTTTGATTGATTCTTTTTTATTATTTGATAACGAATGTATCTCATTAGAGTTATATAAAGGTGTAAAAATATTTATAGTTCTAATTTGTGGATAACACTGTTTAAAAGATCGTAAATGTTTAAATGATGTCTGTAAATAATTTAAAAAAGAATTAAGAAGAATTATTAAATTAAATTATTCATTTTATCATTTTAGTTTGTTTTGTTGATTAAATTCTTAAATCATTAATGTTTCGATAAATTTTCTAATTCGAATAAAATTATTTAAATAATACTTACAGTTTTAAAAGCTTGTCTTGTACATCTTATAGAAAAAAGATTTATTAAACCAGACATTATTCTCATTGTTACTTTCTTCGATCAATTTGAAATCACGAATTAGGTTATGATTCGGCTGTAGTTGATTTTACGCGCGCTGCTTCAAAATCATTCAAATCTTATTCAAATTCTTTTTTTTTTTTTTAATAAAAAATAATAAGTTAATATGTTAAATGAATAATTATTTTGATTTATTTTGATCTAAGAATTAACGATAAAATTTATTACAAGAAAATTGTTCAATTTTCAACAAATTCTTTATTTTGTACGAATAAAAATTTATACAATAACTTGTTTTTTATACATTAAGCGAAGCATATTATTCACGTTGAAGTATTATGAAATTTTCTTCTAAATTTATTGCAGTATTTCGAGAACAATATTCCCATCTAAATATGCAAATAAAATATTAATCAAATTTGCAATAATGACAAAAATTAATTTTAGAAAATTATACATTTTTATATACCTGTTGCCTTTCCTATCTTCAAGAGTAACTTTATCTATCAACAATATATCCGTATTAGTAATAGTTTTAACTGGATCTTCATTTTTTTCATTTTTATCCTTTTGATACCAAATTCGTGCTTTTATCGTAGATCGATCTTTTAATAAAGATTGAAATTTTGCTGCACCAATATTATAAAAGGTCATCCCTTTATTTTTTCGAGTCAATACCCTTAAATTATATATTTTTTAAAAATAATTAATTAAAAATTATTTATATATGCATGCATAATAGAATTTCCAAATGCATAATCGATAATAATAAATTTTGTTATTATCAGTTATGTTATTATTAAAATATGTCTTACGGGTATCGAAATCTGAAATTTATCGTTGAATCGTGTTCTATAATCTTTAAAAATAATACTCCTGATGTCTTTAACGCTTCTTCTGAAGTTGTCACTGATGCTCTTACAGGTTCACCTAATAAGATAAAAGAAAATAAAAATTGAACTTTTGATAAATTTTTTATAAATTAACTGTACCGCAAAATGGTTCTTGCTCTCTCACGGGTAAATAATAAATTCCTAAAGGACCATGATCAGCTCGATAGCCCATTTCTTGCGTCCATAACGTGGATTCCATAGGGAAACACATCCCATTCATATATGACATTCTTCCTTGGGAACAAGGCCAGGCGATAAATTTACAAGATTCATTTGTTGTACGTACACTTTCCAAAAAGTATACCCAAGCTCTTAAGTGGCTACAAGCGATCTCTTTAGTTAACATATCTTCTGAAATATGTTATTATTTTTGTATTATTACATATAAATATTTTAAATATTATTAACTTTTCTGTCAAATAATAAATAAAATAATAAATACCTCTTAAATGACTAACAACAACAGAATTTTTCACATCATTACAACCAGGTTGTTCTCTACCACCATTTGGAAAAAAATCAATGTGACCAATTGGTTTCAAAAGTCCAAATCCATCTGCAAAATCTTCGGATCCATCTGTATGAATCACGTCTACTAACTGAGCATCGGTAGCATCCAATTTCCTCGACTTTTCTCTTAACAAGTGAATTCTGAAAAATGGTGATGCAGGATCTAGGCCAGTTATACGACCTAAGAGAAGATTTTTCTTTTTAAGAATCTCCGAGGCACAACCGGCCACATGAGCTCCGAGACTGAAACCAATTATATGAATATCTTCGACCAGAGTACCCAAATTAATAATTTCTAGAAGGATCAGACCTAATTGTCGTCCTACAAGTTCCGTATTCGCAACTGCTACCGAATAAGTCGTTCCAGCTCCTCTTGTCCAATCAAGTACTAAAACGTTTGTGTCTTCCTGATAAATATACCATAATGTGTTAAATATATAAATAAATTTAACAAGCAAAGCATTTATATTGATCAATAAATAAAAACAAGCAATTATTTCACGTTTAATTACAATGTCCAAAAATGCCTGCACTAAGAGAATCGCACCGACATCGCTGCCACTTCCTTTGTAACCGTGTATTATAACTTTCAGAGGTTTCGTGGAATTAAATTCCGGTTGGAGCATAGATATAGAATCGTCATCATAGTGAAGATTTTCAGGTGATTCTCGGGTTGAACGAGTGTACAATAAAAATCTTGTTTGAATTACGTTAGGATGTTCTGGTGGTCTTTTCAATCTTAAATGAGGCGGTGGATCCGCAAAGCAACCGACTAAGTCTGAAATTTTTCATATAATTTATATTTTTCATTCAATATAAAATTAATATTTGCCTCGTGTATTAGCCATACCATAACAAATTTTAGGTTTAAGATTTTCACGACCAACTCTTATTCGGCGCAGCATCGCTCGATTTCTTTCGGCAAGTTTTACTGGAAAAAAAAAGAAAAAAAGAAAAAAGAAAAAAGAAAAGTGCTTGGAATTAAAAAATTACTTACTGGCATGCTTAACTTCTATAATCCAAAAAATGATCAATCCAAAAATTAAGATCAAGCGTTTTAACAAGACGAGTTGCATCTTTCATTTGATTTCTACGAATGTCGTTGCCTCTGAGGGAAACTATTGGTCTTTTATTTTTTTTCTTCTTCCTCCTACTTTTCCGCCTCTTTTCTTTCTGCCAGCGTTTCTTCCGATTTCTAACGTTTCCTTTTATAGATCGAGAAATGTTTTCCAGTTTGTTATTATAACTATCTTTTTATGCAATCGATTTTCCAATAGCGAGCACGCGATTGATTACTTTCTATTTGTTAGATTTGATGTCGCTGTACAAATTGCTTATTAAATTACCAAATAATAGTATCATTCGTAACTGTTGCTTTATTAGTAATCGATCCATTTTAATGGCAATGCGAATCACTTTAGTGTTAAACAATAAAATACTTTTAATTTAAAAATAGCAATATGGAAATACGATAAATAATATAGACATGGATGAAATTGAAAGAAAAATGTACACATTGATTATAACTCGTTGAACCAAATACTCGATTCATAATACTTTCCCTTGGTCTCAACGACCTCCTTTACCACCTAATATGACGTAACATTTGCAACTTCTCGCATATGTATGACCATTCTCTGTACATACATGATATTTTACTTTCACATTCTATGCTATTTTAACAAGATATTTGCGAAAAGTGAAATAAAAAATCGAATTTTTCAATCTGTTGTCATCTAATCTATCATTAGGATGAAATTTTTATGGTATATCTTGTACCATCTCGTAGGAAAAAACTAATCAGGAGTAGTCCAAATTGGTCAGTTGTAGTTGAAGCAAAATTTTGAAGTAAAACATGGAACATTTAGAATAGTAGAAAGTCGCGAACATTTTTTTTTAAAAGATCTGGTAAACCGGACGGACCAGTTCCACGATTGTATGAAAAAGAAATAAAGTAACAGTAAAGATTTGATTGATTTCTTTTAATTGCGAAATAAAAATTATATCAATACTATTATTTGATATGAATTTTTCTTAATTTTATTTAAAGATTA